CAATTTCAAACTTTGGGGGTCGTTACAGTTTAATTTTCAAAAATTGTTGACTTTTTTTGAGTTATTTATAGACCACTGAAATTTTCGATTTTTTGAATATATTTTTTTTGAAGTGTCGGTAAAAAAAATGTTGGATGACCAAAAGAACTTGAAAATTTAATACAAAGTTTCTCATAAGTTATTCTTATAGTGATTAAAAAATTAAAATACATAGGMACAATTTTTTTTATTAGCATTTGAAGTTCAAATATTGACAAAAATTCGTCCAAACCATGAATATTTGCATGATATACATTATTATCATGATAATACATGCTGGTGTAATATCCTCTTATRGCCTTGCCACATACTTACATTGAGAGAATTCTATCATTGTTGTGATGGTAAGCTTTCATTGTTGAGTATATTAATTTATTAAATATAATAGTAATTTTAAAGTAAAATAATTAATATAGCTCTAAGTTGTAATATTTAATACCAACCTACTTTCTTTATTGTAGTCCGTTGATTAGAAAAATTTTTGTGATTCTGCACCAAGCCCTTTAACGGTGCACAAACATTGGTTGAAACCTACAATCTAAATTAAATAGTCRATRGAGCTGTCTCTCTCTTGAGTGTTAAGCTTGCATCCAGATTAATGACAGTAAAAACTGGCTTATTCCGAAATACATAATAAATAACAAGTTTGGTTTTAATATAATTATTATTAGTTAATAATGATAAAGAAAAATTATTTATACTTGTATTAATACAAAATAATCTGTAATTGACTATTGTATAGAATATTTCGATATCATATTTTGACCAATTGAGTATAATGGACTCAGATTTAAATAATTGTAGTTTTTTTTATAATAAAATAAACAAATTCATTAATAAACACAATCTTATAATTATAAAAACTTAAAATAAATACAATTTAAAATATTTTTGATTCCTAAGAAACAAAATGTAATAGGTATGATCTTAGTATCTTACCCCCACGCTTGGGTTTTACAATAATGTAATATAAGACGACCATCTGTGTTGTAACAGTCATATAAATTTTTCATCGTCTGATCAGGTGGTGGCGCGAATGCTTGATTCACATATAAGAACTATAAACAAATGAATATATATATGTACTGATTTGAAATTAAAAGATTTCATGAAAATAACTCAACAGAAATCAAACTATTTAGTGTATGGTCATTATCTTTCTTTAATGTTATATTTTTACACTACTTTTTGTATGTAAATAGTAAATAATTTTTTATTAAAAATCATACTTTTGCTTATATTTGTATAACCCTATATTCTCAACATAAGAAACTTTTAGAAGAAATAATTTAAAAAATATGCAATAGAATAATTAACATGAATTTGTTCCATTTCAATTTTTTAAATAAAAAAAAAGTTTATCCATAGTATTAAAATAGAGTAWAACTTTATAAATGCATAACAGGTTTAAAAATTAGGTATATAAAGTAACTCTGTCGTAGTATGGTAGAAGTTAWTTTTTTTTGTTACCTAYTATAAAGGATATAAATTTAAATTAAATATTGATABTTAAATTACAAAAATTATGAATTTTCTTACAGATAAAATATATCTATGAAATACGACATACCTACTATGGTATATTTCCAGTTCATTAAATATTCTAATATATCATCAGTACTTAGTATAAAAATAACCTTCTATCATTCTATCACAGAACTATACTGTGATTTATGTGAATGTTATGTTTTCGGTTAAAAAAACATATGAAAGAGATATRATAATAATAATACGTTTTTATGTTAGGTACATATTTTACTAATGAATGTTATTTATTTGATATATTTACCAAACTATCAGATGGTTCTAATTTTAATAGTTTCCTCAAGAAATCATTAATAGATGCCACTGTCTTTTCTTTTTCAACCATCCATTTTTTTGTTTTRAGAATTGGTGCATTACCAGTTGCTTTCAATAGTATCTCAACTATAAAAAACAAAACATGAAATAGGTAGATAGGTTTTAAATAAAAAATAATTAACTAAAATCTGGCATGACTTGAATATAGGTATTATCTTACTTTTTTCTTTGTTTTCAGTAACAACTTTGGAAGTACTAAATTCACTAGATTGTTCTTCGTCCATGGCAAATGTATATAAAAGATAGTTGCTATAGTTTGAAAATTGACAATTTTTCTATCATATCGGTACTAATGCATTTGTTTTCCACATAATAAGAAATAAATCCACATAATAGTACGAGGAAAGTTGATCAAGTCAATAAAAATGTTTGATTATTGCTAATTATGAACAGTAAGTAACTACTATAGTCTATAACCAGTAAGTTAAATGAAATTAGTATTTAGTACATAACAACAAAGGCAATTACAAGTGAAATACTGAAATATTACTARATTAAAATTGAAAAATACATTCAAAAAATGATAAGGACTATCACTACTTAGAAATTACAATATATTGATAAGAATCATAATCACGAATGTCAGTGGCTGAAATCACTAAAATCTGTTAAAACCATAGACCTTATACTCTATACTGAGTATAAGGTCTATGGTTAAAACGTTAAAAGCCATTAACATAATCATTGATCATGATTGTAAAATGGTTTACAATTAAACATTTAAAAATTATTAAATATAAAATTAAAGTATTRACTAGATTTGAATATCCACGTCAAACGTCTAAAAGAGCCGTTTCATGTAAGAGGACGTTATACCCGCATGTCGCAGTGTTGTCTACGTCTTACGATTGCGTAACATGGCAAATTTTTCGCTCAGCRGATCATTTTTAGCTCCGCGAGTTTCAAATTTAGAGTGAATTGACCTATTATAAAAATCAAAGGTAACATTATTACCGAGGGCTTCTCATTGACTTTTTATTATATTTTGATTGTGAAGCTAGTTATGAGTATTTTTAAAATTATAAATTGTTTATAATTCTTAAAATACTCATAACTCACTTTAAAATCAAAATATAATAAAAATCCTATGAGAAGYCCTCGATAATAATTTTACCTTTAATTTTTATAAGAGGTCAATTCAYTCTAAATTTTAAACTAACAGAGCTACAAGTGTTTTGTTGAGACCGTTGAGAGTAAAAATTGCTATTATGAAGCCTTTTTTTGAAGGTACAAAAAGTTGGTAAAAGTCGCATTTGGGGATTATGATTTTGATTTTTTTTTTTTCATTAACTTGGAAACCGAGATTTGAAAAATGTAAATAAAAAATTCGTATGGGGTACAAAATTTTTTTTTTGATGGTACAAAAAGAGTACAAAATTCTGATTATTTATTTTTGTTGTTTTTGTTATTTCGGATTCCAAGTTAATACAGGTTCGTAAACGAAGAGTTAATTTTGTTGAACTATTYTGAACTATAATGTTTACAGTTCACAGTTCAAAAAATAATAATATTAAACATAGCATTGACGCATTGTGTATTCATGTTCATGTTCATAAAATAAGTTGTGAACGTAAACTTCTATGATCGAAAAYTTTTAGGTTTTAATCGTAATAATCGTATGTTTTGTACACCTTGTTCCAAATAAGAGCGCACCAAATGTACGTAACAAAACCGGTTTTGCCTGTGGCCGCCCGGTGCGCTCTTATTTGGAACAAGGTATAGTTGAGAAGTTTAACAATTTGAAATCCTGAAAAAGGATATTTACAAATTTACAATAGTGATCAAACTAATAATTCATTTCTAAAAAATTTAGTATTATGATCAATGAAACTAGTGAACTTTACACAAAAAAGAACTTAATTTTTAATCTTTACTTCCTACCAACCTAGTAAAATKAACGAGTCCATTACATGAGTACTCTTACATAGTAGTCTATAACATTCATACATATGCGATATGTAYTTAAGTATTTTAATGTAATAATATTGTACAATGTTCATAGCACAAATTCCATACTAAATATTTATGAAAATAATATTTTTACTATTAAAGTCGAGTAATACAAATCCAAATAATATTAAAATGACAAACTAAAGATGATATACAGCCTTTAAATAATCTRTGGTCAAACTCTCAAAAATATTGCCTTTTATAATTTTTGTAAAAGTTTTACTTTAAAATACTATAAAACAACTTAAGAAGAAATCGTTTTATCTATGTTATGTGTATATCTCAGGGAAAACAAATATTGTGCTGACATAATCTTAATTTAATAACTCAACATTCATCTTACCACATTATACTATTTTAAATGAAACATTAGCATAAATTAATAATTTATGTACAATAAACTGAGTAATATATAAAATATAAACATAAATGAATAAATAATATATATTATTTTATTGTTTGATCAATTTTGTAAATTTAGCTTGGGCAATCCTAAAATAAGCTTTAAAGGAACACACAACACAAAAAAAAAATATATTTAATTTATTTTTAAATGTTAAATTATCGTAGATATGGCTATATGAAATGATTTGGTGAAAATCTGATGCAAAAAAATTATTACTTTAAGAGATATTATAAAATGTAAAATAGTTGCGTGACGTCATTGGACCCTACTCTTCGTAATCGTCTATCTTATACGTGTAAAAGTTCCTCACTTCTCACAACGATTTACC